ATTTATCTTCCAACAATAAAGTAGTTATTTAGACGATAAAGATAGGACAAAAACCACAAATACGACGAAACAATTAATTCAACGATGCATAATTGAGTTGTTTCCTTTCCACTACATCGAATTATAACAATTTAACGCCTCCAATACCTCAATTCATTCTTCCCTTCGATGACCTTCAATGATTTACATCCTCATTTCAAGTAATTTCAACAATATCTCAGAGTATCACTAATAAAATAATCCAATTTCAATATTATTATTACACGTTTATAGCTATATTTTCACGTACATAAATCAAAAATTAGCTTAAAACTTTTCGACCTCAACAGTTATACATATGATTAATTTGAAAATTATTCATCATTTCATTGATTGAAATATTACTTCATTTATTTTATCGCCAATCTAATCCTGCATAAATTTTATTATTTTAAAAAGCCTTCAAATCACTGCTTTTTTTTTATTTATTTTATTTACAAAAAAAAAAAACAATAAAATATGAGAAAAATGTAAATTCCAAAATTTTCCTCTCTGAAATTCAATCTATTGTGATTTTAAATGATTTTTTTTTTTTTTTTTAGAAGCAAATAAAATTGTGACGAAAATACTGCACGAGTCATATCGTACCACTCATAATTCTTTCTTATGTACAAATTGCCATTGAATATTAAATAAACTAACATTTTTGGTTGGAATTAAAGCTATAACATTGATCAAACTATTTCAAATCTATTATAAAATTTATCAACTAGGCATAAATTTCAAAAGGAATAGATAAATTCGGCTTTTTCAAAAATATGTCTGTTATAAAAATTTATGCAAAAGAGCTAAAAAATTGAAATAAAATTCAATTTTCGCTTAATCCATTATAATACAAAATGTTCCATATATCATTTTGGAGGATTGTAAAAAAAAAATCGGAAAAATTAGAAAATCAAAAATTTTTCCTGATATAAGCTCAATATACAGCATTATATAATTACAGACAAATTAATTACAGATAAATGCAGCATTTTTTTTTGCATTATTTAATAGATTGTCAGGAATAATTTAACTGAAAAAAGGTATAATTTAGAAATAACAAATTTAAATTCAATAAAACTCAAGTTCATTTTTTTAATGATTTCATTCCAATTAATTCAATGCTTACCGTACAACATACAACACATTAGAGCAATGATAGTTATCACTCTTTCATTTTAAATGGACAGAAATATAGTTCAAATAAAATGAACAAATTCTCAAGAAAAAGATTGAAAAATTCAGAGGATTAAAAGGAAATTTTTTTTTCCTCTAACAGAGGAACAAAAAAATATTTGACTCAATAAATTGACATTAAGTGCTAATATTTATTATCCTTTACGATTTGAAATTTCTTTTTTTTCAAAAAAATTTCAAAATTTTATGCAATTTTCATTTCATTCTCTTCTACTTTTTTTCTGCTATAAACATCGATTAGTGAATGAAAAAAAAAATTTTTTTTTTCAAATATTCTTTCAATTTCATCAATATGTCTTTTTTTTTCGAAAACAAACCCTTTCCTTGCCAATCAAAAAAAAAAATTGTTGCAATTTTATGCAAATTTGATTTTTTTTTTTTTTTTTGTATTTTAATGCTTTAGTATAATGACGAATGGAAATGCATATCGGTTTTTTTTTTTTTAGTTGGTTAGCAAAATACAATTCCTTTGTTTGTCCTCAATTAAAATGACTGAATGTTGATTATTTAGTGAATTTTTAAATATTTAATTGCCATTCTTCTAGCATTATTATCATCGTTATCGTTCATCTCCTCATTCAATCACCATTCGTTTTTGCATCATTGATGTACACTTTGCTGTCCTTTTCTTCCAATTATTAAAATGAACAAATTAAATTGATTGATTTTGTTTCCTTATTTGCTTGAAAAAAAAAAATTAATTCAGCTGAATTAATGATAAATGAATTTAATGTCGCAAAAATTCGCATAACAGTGATATCATTGAAAAAAAAGTGATATATTTACTTTGAATGCTTTTAGATCATTGATATTTTAATGCTTAATTGAAAAGAATGAAGAAATGTTAATGAAAGAAATGAAAAAGTTTCATTAAATATTTCACAATACTATTTATTAAAATTTGATATGATATAATTTATTTGAAGTAAGCTAAAAAGAGCAAACAAAAAACAGCAAATTTTAAACAATAATGAATAATTTCAGCTAATATTTTTGATAATTTTAAAAATAGTTTAAATCGGTGTGGGATTAAAGAAAAAGCAAAATGATTAATTTTAATCTCAGGTAAGCTATACTAGCTGGTCAATCAATTACTGCTATCGTTTGTTGTTATTTAGCGTGAGAGAATTCATTCTTTATCGGAGGAGAAATCCTATTCAAATAGAAGAGGTGGACAGTTAATTGTTAATTGGTAGAAACAGATGGATGGGGACAACAGAGGACAGAGCTTTCTCAGATACCGACCGACCGAATCAAATGATTTTATGTTCCTATTATTTCAATAATTAGGTAAATTACCTGGGAGTATTGCAATGAACAGAGAAGAGATGAGAGAAGCATTATTTTCCTTCAAATAGCTTGAAGCTTTCGAAATTAGTATTATTATTATTGTTGTTGTTGTTGTTGCTGTTGTTGTTGTTGTT